TAAGTCACCAACTAAGATTAATTCCTTATTTTCCATATCGCATTTAAAAAGAAACAGTTGAAAATTATCAAATATATCGAGCCCAGAATTGGGTGGTCGATACCATGTGGTTATTAGAATGGGCCTACTATGTTGCCTCGTAATTTCTTTCGATATCATATCTAAGTTTGCGGGGACTAGGTCTTTTCTTTCAAAATGAGGTATATTGTTTTTTATGTAGAGGACCACACCACCCCATGTCTATTACGATCATGGCGAATGATAGAATAATTATTGATGTGAATTTCAGAATCTCGGATTGAGGAATGAATTTTGGACTCATTTATGGCTAAAATATCGAAAGTATTTTCAGTCAAAAAGATACGAATCTCATCAATATGTTTTGTGAGACTGTTAACGTTCAAATTTGCAATTTTTAAGCCCTTTAGGTTAGATAAATTAAAATCAGGCAAGGATGAATTTGACATTGTTGAAACTGACTTGGTTTCAATATTCGGTAAGTTATCAGAATTGATTTGATTATTAGCTAGATTAGGAGACTCTGGACTATAGTTGGTGAATGTATTCATCAAGGCCGTTTCGTTGCTGCTCTCAGAAGAGTCTCTATTTTGTGTTATGTCTCTTCTATTCGAAAATTTCTTGGGTAGTTGTGCTGTTGAGTTGCTGAAGCATGAAATTGCCCTCCACGTAGAAACTTAATAAATCCAACTGCTAGTAAAGCTGTTCCCTTTGCATTTAAGTGTAACTTACTATTGTTCAAGCATGTCTCGTCTATGTTATATGGAGTATAATGTTATAGCTATGTGGAGAACACATATCCTTAAGCTTGTTATTAACAGCTTTAATTTTATCAGCTATTTGAATATCTTTCCTATATGTAGTAGATGATATTCCGATTTGTGCATTGGGAAATTTGCTTTGTACTTTCTCGCAAAGATTTTCTATTCTTTTAACACATGTATTTGGATCATCTGTTGGAAGATTATTAGTTCCACAGTGTAATATTACGTGAGAAGGGGCTAAATTTTGGTCTAGATTGTGGATTTCCGTCTCAATTTCCTCAGCTGATTTACCAGGGTATGTAAACTTATGGACTTTTTTCCGAGACAGTTTCTGTGGAATGACATTTTTTTCTAATAGAGTCGCCAATTAATACCACACTCGGTCTTTGATCACCAGATTATGGAAGCCGAGGAGGGTCACCCCTCGAAAGAAAAACAGCCTTTGGCGAAAATAAAACAACGTTTGGCGAAAGTAAAGCAGCGCTTGGCGAAAATAGAATAGCGTTTGACGAAAGTATAATAGCGTTTGGCGAAAGTAAAATAGCGTTTTGCGAAAATAAAATAACGTTTGGCGAAAGTAAAATAGCGTTTGGCGAAAATAAAATAGCGTTTGGCGAAAGTATAGACTAAAGTAGCGTTTAGCGAAAGTAAAACAGCGTTTGGCGAAAGCATATCGAAAAAGCACGTTGGCGAAAGCTAAAATAAAATGGAGTTTGGCGAAATAAAAAGTAAAATGTGATTTGGCGAAAGTAAAAGTGAAATGGAGTTTCACGAAAATAAAAATAATTTTTTCGCCGAACGCACTTAGCCGAGAAGGCTCACATCAGTGAGCTCCACATATATCTGGAGTAAGAACTTTGGGTGCAAAAAGTGAAGCCAAAGATGCCACATTGCATCAGCAAATTGGAATACCTGATTAGCCATTGAGGTGCCATACATGTGACTTTTTTGTGCTGCTAAGCTGTCCACACCATTTCGTCTTAAATACATCTGACATGCAGCCAACAATACATTTTCAGTTCCACCATCAGTACGGGTGATTGCAGGGATTACTGGAATACATTATCATTATCATTATCATTATAACATTAATATATAAGAATATATATTTATTTATTTTTTTTAGTAAATTTTGCGTATACATGTTAGCAGATATACACAGGCTAGTGACAACAGGGTTATAATACCCTAACTAAGGTCACTAACCCTTATAACACACTGACGTCACAGACATAAAACGGACGGACGAACAGATAAACGAACAGACAAACAAGCGACACAGAGTTCAGCTTTAGCAACAATGTGATTGGTTCCAGGGTTGAAAGAAAGATCTTAATGAGTTGCAACGTAGACATATAGAGCGCCAGGTTGAAATAACTTCAATGTTGTAGATGTCTTGGAGAGCGGTATTGTAGGTAGACTTAAGCATTCTTTTGAAGGCGTTATATACAGGAACTTGCTTCAGGTGATTTGGCAAGCTATTCCAGAGTCTTGCAGAGCGAATGAAGTAACTATTTTGGAAACATTTGGTTCTAGATCGGGGAACTTGGAGATTAAGCCGACAGGAATTTCTGAGGTTGTTTACTGGAAGAGAAGGAAGATAGCGGTCGAGATCAATGTTGTATTTTCCATAGGTACATGCGTGAAGAAACAGTAGATCCTTGATTTCATGCCAGTAGGATATTGGAAGTAAATTTGTTCGAATCAAACGTTCATTGTATGGGACAGAGAACCTTGGTGTGCCGAGGATGTAAGAGGTAGCCCGTCGTTGAACTCCTTCAATGTTCCTCATCTGGTGTATACCCTGTCCAGACCATACTTCACTAGCGTAGTCGATGTGAGGACGCACAAAAGTCAAGTAAAGCAATCTTTTGGATTCTTCACTAAAGGACCGTGTATTTCTTTTCAACAATCCGAGCATCCTGTAAGCCTTTCCAACCGCTGCCGATGTATGCAGATTCCACTTGAGGTCAGACGTCACCAGGACGCCAAGATCCTTCTGGCTGGTGGTGGATTTTATTGCATTGCTACCTACTTTATAACCAAGGCACACTGGAGTTCTCTTCCTGGAGATAGTCAGCGTTTCACACTTCAACTCGTTGAACCTTAGTTTCCATGTCTGAGTCCAGTTGTAGAGATGATCCAGGTTAGTTTGAAGAGAGATAGCATCACTACAATCACGTATGGTATGGGAGCACTTTGTGTCATCAGCATATAGAAATAGCGAGGAATTATTGATTGGTACTGATGGAAGATCATTAACATAAATTACAAAGAGAAGTGGACCAAGGATCGAACCCTGCGGTACACCAGATAAAACGGCACAGGAATCAGAAATGTGGCCGTCCACTATAGTTCTCTGGGTACGGCTGGACAGATAGTCAGAGAACCAACCAAGGAGGCTTCCACCAATGCCATAAGATTTAAGTTTATGGACCAGTAGTATGTGGTTGACGCTATCGAAAGCTTTACTGAAGTCAAGATATACAACATCAGTTTGCAAACCTTTATCAAGCGCACTACCAAGTTCATGGAGGAAGCAAAGGAGTTGGGTAATTAATATAGATATATATAGTATATATATATATATATATATATAATATATATATATATAGTAATATAGATAATTAACAGTATACACTCTATAACATGCAAGCAAATACCTTTGGAAGACTTTGCATAATCATGGTAGTATTGAGCAACATATGCAGGATCGTTATTGGTAACATCAACATTGCACCAAATGATTTTGCGTGAAAAGCCATCAACACAACCATGGATTGTGAAGCCATAAGGTTTCATTTTATCATGGCCATCTATATGCCATATCCAGTTACTTCCCTGCACATGTTTGATAGTTTTGTCATTTTAAACACAATTAAATAAATAATTATTAATTGGGATTTATTAAAAATAAATAAGGTTATAATTAATGCCTACATATATTGTTGTTGACTTACCACTGAAACATAATCCCGTCGCTTTAACACATTAGCCTTTCTTCTTCTGACACCTTCGGGATCGACATACAACATGCCTTGATAAACATCATCCCTATTAAAAGTAGAGTAAGTTTAATATGCACATATACAGTATGATGTATATGCATACACACAAATAGTATAATGAACTACACAGACCATGAAAATTATAATTGTTACAAACCTTTTAACTAATAGATCATGTCGAAGTCGAAGACGTTGCTGCATATGCCTGTACCCAATCACTGTTCCAACTCCCTGATTTTCAATCTATACCAACAAAATGTAGAAGTGGCATTTCATTCCTGGTTTAGTTTACTAAATTGGCTGGTAATATTATAGTGAGTGCACCTGAATAGCATTAATCACTTGTTGTGGGGATATGGTTTGATCATGTCTCTTGATATTCATTGCTTTCAAACGTCTCTTCAGTGTCGATAAACTACACAATTTGAAATATAACTAAACAATTGGCTATTCAATTTCATTTACATGCCCCCCTGTTTTTATGAAAACCGTCTTCAATTTTAATATGAACATGCCTACCCTAAAGAAATCCTGAAATAGTCCATTCTCACATACACTCATACAGTATCACACTGCATTTTGCATATTGCTCTTTGGTTCATTAATTATTCTCATGAATAATTTAAATGTATTTATTATTAAATAATAAAGGAAGTTAATGTTATACGGGTCTTCGTATCGTAGTGTCGCGGGTCCTAGGACGCTTGTCCGATCGGCTACTTGCCCCCTCCGGTGAGTACAAATATGAGCCCAGTTTGCCTGATCGAGTTGTTAGTTGCTTGCGTGACCCATTCCCTAACGACTTCACGCGATGTTGTGAACTCTACGGGAGAAGCGTCTTATTAATCTCGCTGGGGTTTGTTTTTTTTTTGTTAGTTTGTTTTGCAGGATTAAGCACTGTTCTTTTCACACCCGTTTTGGTCGTGGAATGGGTGTTTGGGGTAAAGGTAAATTCATTAATGATCGCCACATTTACAGGTATTTTTTTTTTTGTTGTTTTGTGTGTGTGTGTACTTTGATGTTCGTATCGTTTATTCCACGGTTTCACTTCAGTGACTCACGTGTGACAGTTGATCACGGGATGGAGGAGGTACCGTTAAATATAGCATGGTTCGTTGAGTTATTATCTGCGCCGAAAACAGCAAACTCAAAAGAAACACCGTTTCACCCCTAGCCCGACCGTTTCGCTCGGATACCGTCTCCATCCCTACCGATCGGCAGCGGGCAAAAATATAGTGTAAGAGCTGGTGTGCTATCGTACTGATGTGAGCCTTAGGATCCGTTAGAACGTTAACTTATTCCAATACATGCTGCTATTATAAAACATTCCAACTAACCTCCATTCGCAGCCAAATTCCTCGCGCAGATATAGTAAAATTGTCTCGTTTGTTTTAATCTTTTTAACCATGTCCAAAATACGTAAGTACATCTCTGTTAATATAACAATAACGCTCATCTATGTAGTGTTTAATAAATGTATATTAATCAATATAAAAATAACACGCAATTTTACCTCTTGTGACATCACGAGGGAGTATAACATGATTATTAACATCTTCGTTGTTTGGTTGATCTGGTTCCATTGCGTCCGCCATGTTTGATAAATACGCGGGAAGCCTGGGGCGGATTTGAGCCTTCTCTGCTAAGTGCGTTCGGCGAAAAAATGATTTTTATTTTCGTGAAACTCCATTTCACTTTTACTTTCGCCAAATCACATTTTACTTTTTATTTCGCCAAACTCCATTTTATTTTAGCTTTCGCCAACGTGCTTTTTCGATATGCTTTCGCCAAACGCTGTTTTACTTTCGCTAAACGCTACTTTAGTCTATACTTTCGCCAAACGTTATTTTATTTTCGCCAAACGCTATTTTACTTTCGCCAAACGCTATTCTATTTTCGCCAAGCGCTGCTTTACTTTCGCCAAACGTTGTTTTATTTTCGCCAAAGGCTGTTTTTCTTTCGAGGGGTGACCCTCCTCGGCTTCCATACCAGATCGATTAGAATTTGAATTTCCATGGTCAGAGGAAGGACATTGTGCAGCATTATGTTCAGTTTGTGAGATACCTCTATTATTATTACTCCGGCGTCAGCGACGGAGTTGAAAATTCGCCTCGGTTTTGTTTTGTTGTTTTTTTTTTGTTTTTATTTTTATTTTTCGTCGTCGCAAGTCTGAAATGGCGCGAAACATTCTAGTATTTGAAATGTGTATGTGATTGGATTTATCTATGTCCCAGTCTTATCTCCCAAGAGTTGTGGTGTACAGCTTTGGCTAATTTTCCAATGCGCGATTCGATTTCGCTCGCATGATACGGCAATTCTTGCAAGAGGAACGAATAAACCGTTGTTTTCATGCTGTTCGATTAAGTTTAGATTGAGTTAGGGTAAGAATATATTAATACATGTTGATTCTGGTCCTATTTTAATAATATCACTGCTATTTCGCCGTTTAACAAGATGATGTGGTCGTGTATGGGCGCGTTGACACGTCGTAGTTTGCACAGGATTGAAAATTTAATATAACTATATAAGCGCGAATTCCAAAGGCAAAGTGTAAGACAAAGCGAATGTATCATGCGGTTTATTTACATTTTTGAACAATTGAACTTCTATACTTTTTAAACTACGATGTGCTTCTGAATTTCGCGATCGAACATTTATAATTATAGGTTCGCAAGGTATCTAAATGCGAATATGAACTGTATTGTTTATGTTCAGAAGCTCTATATTAAAGACTGGCACGTGCGCCGGAGTTAACGCCAGAACAGGCGTCTTGTTAATCATGTTTTCCACAGCTGTGTGCTGCGATAATTGACTGTTGATCAGTTGCATTGTCTGACTGGATTAGGCCGGGTAAATATTGAGTTGTTTGTTCTGGTTGATCAGGTTCAATGATTTCACCTTCATCAGTTAGGCATTCAAATCTATTATGCGTGCCTGGTGTTGTCATTTGCGGTCCACTGTTCGCTTTATGGGCATTTGTATTGCCCTTTGGAGCATTTTGCCATAGTGTAGAATTACATTTATTTTTGCATGTATGTTCGCAGTATTGGGAACAAATAGAGTTTGAATCTGCAGTATTGCTCACTGAATTAGATTTACTTGAACCCTTATACAAATTATATTGGCAAAGTTTGTCTTGTGCAATGAGTCTAGTCGCGAGCTGTAAGGAGTCTCTCTCATTCTCGACTTGGGCAAGCTTTTGCTCAAGAGAGGTTGTATTTTGATTTTTCTCATTTAACTCCTGTAAGTATTTCTGGTTCAAGTCTGAAGATTTGTTATAGAGAGACAGTATCACATCATGGTCTTTTAGTATATTTTCAAAGGAAAATATAGACGACTGCAAGGTAGAAATATTCGCTTTAGACTCTCAATATCGTTGGTAACTTGATCACATATACATGAATGCTTTTGTGCCGTATTTAAATCCCTCATGTTCTATTGTTATGTGATTGCTTGTTTGGCTTGAATCATCAGTCGATACAGATTGGACTTGAATGTCGACTCGTTACCAGTTATTTTCTTTTACTAATATGTTCGTGAGTTTCTTACCTTCGTCTCCATTAATCAGAAGCGAAGTTGTGTTTGTACAATACCTGATGTTAATACATTCTGAGACCTCAGTAAATTGCTTCAAATGTCCGGTAGGCGCCGACCATGTTCCTTTAAGTTTGAAAGTTGTTTCGATGTACCACTTGAGAGATTCAAAATCATCGCTCCATTTAAGCTTTCCCTTATCGACAGTAATGCCCGCTTCTTTAAGTTGTTGTAAGGTTATATTATTTAAGCGATCTTCGAAAGATATGTTAAGACATCCTCCAGCTGCTAAACTAGCAGTGTTGTCCGCCATGTTGTTGATGACCGAGACCGTTAGTTACCCATTCGTTTGTCAGTTCTTTCGTCATCCATGCATTTGACGAGCTGGCAATATATGCTTTGGATTTAAATTCCTGGCGAAGAACTGCAACTTCACGTTTGGCCCCTTTAAAAACTTTCATCAGTTTCAGTTTTGTGCCTTGGCAGCCAGACAAACTGAAACTCGACTTTTTCATGACCAGTTGTTTTGAAACTGCCGTTTCATCCATCGCAATTATATCGCACGGGTGTAATTGTTTTTTTGACTGCAGTCGTCTAACATGTAATACGTAGGAAACAATTTTGGCAAACAAACGATCAGGATCTTTTTGAGCTACGGACGTTTCACGGCGCAGAGAGAGATGATTACAGCGCATAAAGTTTTTTAACCAACCAAGTACTAAATACTCGCAAAAAGAGTCCAGTGATTTCCAGAAAAATTAAGTGGGAAAAGTAGCTATAACTTTTACATGATCAAAGTTAACCCCGGACCAAGTGCGTCGAGTGCTACCATTGCGCATAACCACTAGTGAAATGCAAGAGGAGCTACCAAGGCTGTCTTGTACTTGCTTTCAAAATATTGTAGATAGGCATCTATCACCTTAGAAAAATATATAAAACTATATCATAATTACAAAACACAATTAAGGTAGCTGCCTTGTAACTAGAAATTGGTCTGCAAATGGTATTTTACGAACTCTCATTAAAGTCATTAAATCCTCAGCAAAGTAGCATATTAATTTAAACGGAATCATGCTTCATATCAAAACCAATGCTGCAATGAGTAACTCTCCAATTTCTAAATATTACAATGATACACTACTTACAGAATCAGTTAACCATCCGGGGATAAATGCTGGTATTTCCTTCTTGATCTGTTCATATTCATCAGGTGTTATCATGTCAGGTTTTTAATACTGTCCACAAGTGTGCCACTGTTACTTTAATATGTTGCACTTCAAGCATCAAATCGCTGCAGACAAGACCATTCTTTTTCTGGCTAACTTAATTCTTGGAACCACACTGCATGCTATGCCCCTAAAAGTGTACCCAAATATTCTGTAGTATTCTTACACGCAGACACTTACATGCAGCCAAATAATTTACTTACTAAAAGTGAATGTGTGAAATTATTTAACTTAGACATTGAATTTTACTTTCTTCTTGTTTTTATTGGTACTTTCAGGTTTTTCTGGTGTTTGTGAGACCGGGGTGACAACTGGCATCTGCAAGCTGTTGAAATCTTGTGTGATACCTTTGGCGCCGGTCCACTTTCAGTGTGTTTTCTTTACTTACCAAGGTTGGACTTACGCCATGCTTCGGACGTGCATCTTGGAGTTTGAAGGTCGACAGAATACATCTCTGTGCTTTGCCACGAGCTTGTAACTTTGAAAACACCTTTGTTTAGGTCGATACATTTAACATCACATTCGCGAAAGTCGCTAGTCGCTAAGCTACTCTTCATACAGTGCTTCAAGAAATGAGTTGGACGGTTTTGGAGACTCCGGGGAATCTCGTCGTTATAACTTCTATAGGAACTACTGAACTTGAAGTTTGCATCTTTGCATTGCTGATATGAATCAGTAAGGAAGGATTCAACCAAGTTTAAGGCAATACCAAACACCAACTTGTTGACCGATCTAGATAGGTAATCGTACTTGAAATCTTGGTGCGGAAAGCTTGTGCCCAAATTCAGCACATGACACCGATGTTTTTCTACATACTATTTAACATTTGGCTTTGTCATATAAACCTTTGACTTCCGTAGTGTATCTAGAGCCGTGTTGAATAGTGATAAGCTACATAAGCTACACGCTCCAATTGAGTAGTCAGAACTTCTTGTTCTTTTGCATTTAGACCATTCTTGGATGAACGTACCCATCGATTCCAAGCCTGTTTTCAGTGTAAATCACATATGTAAACCAAGGCATCAGGAAATCCCCTCTCAATTGCGTTAATTTCCGCTTGGGAGTAGTCGGTCATGAAATAAGCGGGATCCCAACCGATATTCCAGCCTTTAATGATCGCAAGTGCCTCTGCTACGGACTCTGTATCCTCGTTTTCGCAAGAAATTCAGCAACCGCTTTATATCCCACATAAAGAATAATGGTAGGACGTATTTCGCAGTTTATTAAGTCGCGTCAAGTAGAACCGGGTCTGATCCGTATCTTGCAAGCAGTCTTTGCTGCCAAATTTCTTAGTGTACGAAAAAAACCTGTCGCTGTCGGTCGCATCAACAGTGTCGTAGTTTTTTCTCTTTGGTCGGTAAAGAAATTTCCCGAACTCGTTTCCTGCCACTCTTGTATCTTCTGACGCAAGGCCTCTTGGTCATCCTTAGTGGACTTGGTCGTCGCGATCGCCCTAGCAATGTGGTTTCTTATGTCTTGTCACGTAGGATAGTACTTGCGATTTGTAACTATTGGCCGTTCTTCATGAAGAGTCTCTACAAAAAGTTCTCTTTTGACAAATTCTTCGACAAACCGTCTTACTTCATCAGGCCGTGTGATAACGTTGCGGACGACTTGGTCGATATTTTCAATGATTCTTTTGTCTACGCAATGATTTATTGTAGCAGAAGCTTCTACATGCACGATGGTATTTATGTGTGTCACACAAAGAATCCTGAAATAGTGTTGAAATGTTGATGATAAGGTTTTCGTCGGGTTCCACATGTCTTCATTCAATTGATCGAGAACTCTTTTCTTGGCCATTTTAAGGCCGTTGCTTGTGGGACAGGATGAGCATTCCACTTTATACTTATGAAACACTTTGATACTTCTTACTTGTAATTTACGACTTTCCCATTTTTCGACTTCCTTGGAACTTTTGGTATGATACCGTGTAGTTATCATGGTTATGGTTTTGAGATACATCGTTAGCTCGACCACCTCGAGAGTCCTGCATGGAATTAATTTTATTGAGTGAGGAATGAGTAAAATTTCTTTTTTAAACACCGCCAAATTTTGTCTTATTGTTACTTTTGCATCTTGATGATGAAATATTATTCCTCCCTTGTTGTTAATATTTTTTCTGTTACGTACTTTCAATGCTTTTAATTTTGGAAATTATTGTTTTTTCAGGAGTTTCAATTTTCCTTAAAAATTTATTTTTCAAAATTACCTTTAACGACCCATGAAGACAGTGTCTTGTTTCAATGGACTCTAATACAAAAGGGTGTCCAAAAAAAGAGATTGGTACATTCTCTCTTTATCTTCAAAAGCTGGTTTAGCAAAAACTACCTTACAAGGTGAAAGTCTTAAGTAGTATTGTTAGTTTAATGGAAAGTATGTTGTTTTTTAGTTGCTTTTTGGAAAATGGTCAGTAAATTGTCAGTGATAAGTATTCAGTAAATCTTAAAAAAATCATTCAAAAGTTTTAAGAATGGATTACTTTTTACGGATTACGAAAAGCATTTTAAAAGTTTTTTATGTCACTTTCTTGGATTGATTTCCTCCGTAATAAATTCCTACCCCCCTCCCCTAACAAAAGTATACCTTCGGTAATAAGTACTTATCTGCTTCCAGGAAAACAAAGAAGAATGTCAGTTCGGGTTTATTCATTTATTCTAACCGTTTTTTAAATATCTACTATGATTTTTATTCTTGAAATGCTTCTCCGCGTGAATGGATGATGTAGAATTTATTGCCAAAAAATTCTCTAACAACGCATTCAAATCTCTTTTTCTTTCTTGGAATTTTCATCGTCCATGTTGATGTACATATTTCCTGCCAAACAGGGGAATAAATATACATTTTCAACTAACACAAAAAAAAATTATTTACTTTTGGATAAAATTAAACTGTATCCTTCCTAAATTACTAAGAAAGCTGTTCTGAGCAGGGGCGTAGGAAGCAATTGTTAACTAATTGCCAGTCAGGTTTTCGTTGTCTACATTCAACTGTAACTGCTCTTCTTGAGGCCACTAATGAATGAGCCTACAACATTGACCATGGAAATGTTACGGCTATTATGTTCCTAGCTTGATCTCGAAAGCTTTTGATACCGTAGATCATGAAATTCTGCTAGGTATACTTAATGCATACGGCATTAGTGGAATTGCTGGTAATTGGTTTAGATCTTACTTTAAAGGGCGGGAGCAAAAGTGTTTCTTTAATGGTCATCTTTCGACTAGTGTTTGCTTCGTTGCGGACTTCTGCAGGGCACTATATTAGGGCCAATTTTTTTCTAATTTACATCAATGATCTACCAAATTGGCTTTCACATTCTCGGGCTCGGATGTTTGCTGATTAAGTAATAATATTGATGACATTAATCATTGTTTCAACGAAGATCTTGCTATTGTCAGTGAATGGCTCTCAGCGAACAGACTTACTTTGAATCAACCTAAAACCGAATTCATGTTAATCGGTTCCTATCAAAGAGTCGATACTTTTCCAGCCATCCAAAATGTCTTCTCTTGTAATTTCACCTTTGTATTGGACAGTTCTTGTTGCGTGTCTTTCAAGTGGCGTGTAGTCTCTTGGATTCTTTAAGCCATTGCAAATTTACAATAGCCAACTTTGAACTCGCTAAAGACTTGGGTTGATACCTAACATCATGAGTTTTAGCTGTAGTACTGGAATTAACAGTCGCAGAATAAGGTTTAAATTTCTTTCTTGTACTTGTTTCAGTCCTCGTTTTACGGTGTTTACGCTTTCCACCAGGTATTTTGAGCATCGTCTGATGAAAAATGTTCATTGCACACCTTCGTATGTTTGGTCAAGATAAAACCATCTTTTTCATCTACTTTCCCCATACGATTGCACCAATTGTTCTTTAAGGGGTTCTCCAAAGGCACTGTAAAAAAGTGGAAAGGCGACCGTCGACCGCGACCGTTATTCATACAAACACGGTTTGTGCAATTGTAATAGCAGCATTGAGTTCCTTCAGAATGTTGTCGTTTTACCTTGGGCTCAACGTTTTCTTTGTTCCCGTCATCTTCTGGTGGAATGCTCTCGTCGTGTCCACCTTTATATAAAAACCCATCAAAATGCACTGTGAAAAAGTACAAGATAAAAGTTGAACAAGTAATATAATTTATGCACTAGAAAATCCGGCGTGTTTATTCAACACGAAAATGTGTTGTGAAAGCACTCTTTCTGTGCTCGGGAAACACGCCAGAATGTTACAATATCAATCGTGTTATTAAAACACGCCAGAATTACCACTGCAACACGGCTAACGTGCGCAAATAACACGTTGATATTACCAAACAACAACAACACACCAGGAAGATACCAACGACACGCTTCTTGTCACGGAGTGTGTCGTAAATAAGTTAAGAACACGTTTGCGTGTTTAACAAACACGTCTGATTGCGTGTCGTGTGTTGCAAAACATTTAAACTAAGCTCAGCACGCTAAGCTTTAAATTACAAGTCATACCCAGCTTGTATGGATTTTCAAGGGACATTATTGCTGCGAGCTATATACAGGGTGTATCAAAAAAAAGGTAATCCAACTTCAACAAGCTATTGTACGTGAACTACTCAGTCTATGAGCGAATTGTTTTCACATTCGGAAAGATCAGGCTTTTAACTATCGGATGACATGTTTTTAATACCCAAATGGTGAAAAATGAGCACATACGAGGCTGATAAAAAATGTTAGTCGCAATCGCATATTTTCACCTTTGAGCCTAATTAAAGCAGTGCATAACAAAAGAAAAAAACAATTAATCATGAACATGTCACAGCATGCACTGGTTTTATGCCGCATTGCTTGGAATGTTCTCCTTATTCCTACTTAATATGCATATGCGGGTAGTTTATTCAAAAGCAAAAGTCCCAAAGAGAGTTAATTTTCAATGGTTTTAGTCCCAACTCTCAGAGGTGAAAATATGCGATTTCGACTAACAATTTTTATCAGCCTCCTATTTGCTCATTTTTTCACCATTTGGTATCAAAAACATGTCATTCGATAGTTAAAAGCATAACCTTTCGGAATGTGAAAAAAATTCGTTAATAAAATGAGTAGTTCACGTACAATAGCGCACCAAAGTTGGATTACCTTTTTTTTGATACACCCTGTATTGTAGGTGATTCGAAGGTAATCATTCAGTATTTTTAATAATGGGGAGTAGTGTAGCTGCCGGGACACTCAGTAGGTCGAATCAGCGCAAGATTACTATAGAAACCAATAAGTGATTGTATTTGTGATCAATGGTAACATTACTGCCATAGTTCTGAATAAATACTGTACATAAAAAAGAAAAGCTTAGTGATTTGGGCAATCCTGGCACTAATTTAGAGGAATATAAACGTTTAAATAATAAGTGTATAATAACACACCTCACGTTAAACAACTTTATCAACAATACAAATTAACGTTATTAAGCTACAAACTCTATAAATGAGCTGTTTGTAAGTTTTACATAAATTTTTCCCAAGATAGTTTTGGGAAATAACGGTAAACAATGCCCCAATTCTTCTATACGAACCACAAATTTTTCTGGGGTAAAATCTACATGATAAGATAAGAATCGCCCGTCGAAGCTTCTTGTTGCCATTCTTTGAACAATTAGAAACGTCTCGTTTCTAATTAGCAGGATGTGTTTAATACTTCCAAAAGTAGGTAAACTATCAATGCCGTTGGTTTCCATACAGACCACATCATCAACAGCAAAGCGAACCCCATTCTTTTCTGTATAAATTGCTCTGGAATAATATAGTAACATAATATAATACAGCATTTATAAGCTCTGAGCGTTATTTCGCCAAGAGCAGTAGAATAATTAAAATACATCATTAGCTAATTACTCGAAATAAAGAATTGTCTACTAATGGTCAATTGGTCGAGTGCCATGATCAATAAGAGAACAGACGCATGAAATGAAATTTTACATTTTAGCATGTGACAGAAATTTTTCTATTCTATGTATCATGTTGCGCGTGATATTTCCAAAATTTTGACTTTTTCAATATTCCAAATGTTGGGGAAAACCATAGGCAGCCCAATAGCGATGGTTTTATTTGAAATAAAAGTGCACTAAAATATTGAAAATTAGAACAAAGCTTTCCGTATTTTGATGCAATTGAAACATGTATCATTTGTTCATGCTAACTAAAATCCTGACATCCTGTGTATTACGCAACGGGCGACTCGCGTGCCTGACAGTGTTCAGGCAATGTAGGCATTATATAGTATATATATATCCTAAGGTAGGCAACTTCAATCCCAATATCGACATGGACACATGCAAACAATCAGAAAATACTTCAATTTATCCCTAAAACTAAGCTAAAATAACAGCAGAAATGAAATCTACGATAATTTTACTATATACTGACTATATTTTAATATTGAAAACAAATTATGGAAGCGAGAAAAATGCGAAAAGCTTTTAATATTTTACTCATTTTTTGAATGGGACGATGCTGGACCCGCGCTGTTGACTTTTGAGAACGTTTGAAAATGACGAATACGTAATCTGATTGGCTCTTTGAAAACCGTCAAATTTGCATACCGGGGGGGATAGCACTCGGAGTCGGCAAGAAAATGCAAGCGCGGGAAAAATCTAATTTTTATGCCAGTCTGAAATTACGGCCCTTTAAAAATGTTTTTATTAAATTATAAAGGTAATTTTGAAGGATATTGTCTGGAGGTGTATTTAATATGTGATTATTTACGCAGCGTTTGTAAAAAAGCGTAAAAAATGTAGCTCGGTTATAAGAAATATCTCGGACGTACGTATACAGTAAGTATATTTAGTTTATAAAAACCTTATAATTTGCGTCGTGTTGCCTATGGTCTTGCTTTCAAAACAAAATTATATACCTTTAAATATCTCGCGATGAACAGGCAACAATTTAAACTACAAAGCTACAATTATGGGGAAGGAGAAGACCAACGACAAAGTATACTGTCTCAACTCTGATTTTTATATTTGGTAAGTAATTTTTATGTAATGTTTATACAAACATATTTGCAGTTAGATATTTAAGAAATACAATCCATAATTGTTTGGTTAAAAAGTACTTTCCTATCAGGGCTAACGTATATAAAGAACATAATAAAATTATAGCATAATTGTCTAATAAACACAATTTGGGTTGAATTACTCAGATACTGTCCCTTATATGGCTTAAAATACTTTCTCACCAGGAATTATACGCATATAAAAAAAGCATGTCTTCCTTTTTACGATTACCACACTCATGGGAAAGGGAAAGCTTAAAAATCTATACTTTTACCAATAACATAACGGCAGTAAATCTATGCTATTGCTATACACAGTAGAATCATGATTGTATAGGTGTATTAAACTTGAACTGTATTAAAAAAACTCACCAATAGACATATTACGACTTCTTTAAACGCCAGTCAACCAAACTCTTTTTAGTCTTTTCTTTACCAGCATACATCATGTTTATAAGAGTCCATGCGTATTAATGTTGATTTCACGACCATACATTTAATATTATGCAGGAATAGTTGACGTGCGGCTTTTCACAAAGGGACCGAAAACAAAAATCTTTGCTAAAGTACTCGTCCAGAAAAACGCCATTTGAGTTGATCCATCAATTTTCTACCAATAGAATATTGCTAAAGGTTTCAGATGACACACAAGTAGGCAATTTCGTCAAGCAGGCAATCCATGAATCTGCAATAAATAAGGAAATCGAAAAAAGAACGGCTGAAAAACCACATGATCAATCGTCGATAAAAACATGAATAAACAAGATCGTAATGCCGAAGAAAACTAAATTTTTTTGTTCATTCATACCTTGCCAGCATTCCTGTAGTTTTTTTTTCATAATTTGAGCCCAGATCACTACGAAAAATGCATGAAAATGCACGATTTTTCGCTCGTCGAACACTTTGCTGTTTGCCAAAAACGTGTCTGTAATTTTGATGGCGAAAACCGGTCTGACCGGTTATATTCAAGTCAAATGACGTAACAAGTGCTGGGGGAGGGTCACGTGCCAGAATGTTATAGTATACAGTTAATACAGCTAGAATGTTATAATATATATAATACACAAACGCGACCTTGTTGGAAGGTTATCGAAATAATTGAAATACTTATAACTGTTTATTAAGTTTGCATGCATCCAATTTTAACAAAATACACACATTATACTGATTATAGGAATAAACTGGTGTCACGCATGAAAAATCAAAATATATAGTTCACACCCCTCACTTAGTTCATCTTAGTTGTTGTAGTTTATATGAAATGATGAAAGTTTCTAAGTAGAGCTCTTTTTAGGATGCTTGGCAATTATGAGTACTGCGAAGGTTCTCAATATCCGTTAGAAATGATTCATTCTGACATATCCAACGCTAATTTTAATGTCAATCCAAAGACGGTGGGAGTAGTTATTAAAGATATTTGGAAAGAGAAGGTTAAAAGAATCACCTCAAACAGTTCGGGTCCTTCGCGATACATGCACTTACGAAAGCGTGAAATAATAAATTCTGACACCGTTGTGATCACCAAATTTGACCAAGATATTATACAACGAATCGAAGCACTAGTATCAACGAGGAATGAAGATTGGGTGGTTGACAGAAAGTGTTTGGAAGAAGATGTTTTACTTTTGAGAAGGTGTTTGAAGAACAACGACATTAGCGTTGAGGGTCAGCGTTTGACTCGGAATAGCAATTACGTTATCTCCACAGTCCATCACATTGAGCACTTGTGGTAAGGTTGTTCCCCTTAAGGTTGTCGAGCACACAGATGAAATTACCGTGTCACTTTTCCCAATCAATATTATAGGAAGATTTACAAATGACGGTAAAAGGAGGACGTCATCAATTGACTGGTATGGTTGCACTGGGGCAGTTTTACAACGCTATGAAGAGGATTGAGTCGGGTAAAATTTTGTACATTTAAATGGAAAACAAAAGGAGAAATATATGTGTGCATGCAGCTCGGGACGCATACACGTTCCCTCAGTCGTTTTACTTTGTGTGCACTGTTTAGGAAATTCGTCTGTTGAAATCGCTACCCATCTCATGCAGTTTATATTTTTGAGTGACGGGGGCTTTCGATTTCCCTTGGCACATTTTTCCGACAGCACAATGTCCCTCTTCAGTGCTGTACCTGCAATTTTGGGAAGGTGTTATGCGGTTGAAAAGTTTGGGTTTAAGTAAGTTCCATTTATTAGTTAAACAGTAATTAAAAATTCACTATAGATTTATATGAACATGTAGCTATAATATATATGGTTTATTGATTTCAGCATTTACTACTCTATCTGTGATGGTGGAGATTCGAACAGACAGTTTATTAAAATCCATTTTAACACCTGTCATCCCGCTGACCTGCATTTCATCGGCTACAATATGTTATCTGAAGTGCCGATGGCTTTCATGATGGATTGCAAGGTATGCTCTTTGTTTCTATGATGATGCAGCGTGTGTCAATTTGTTTTCACTCAAAAACATATTTCAAAATCATCTTACCTTTTAGCATAATTTCAAAAAGCTACGAAATAACATAGAGAAAAGCAGTACTCATGGAACATCCAGATGCTTGACTAAAGATGGGAAAAATATCTTTTGGGTGCATTGGAGGGAGGCTTATGAATGGGACCAAGCAAACAACTCTTGTCACATCCATGAAAACTTAACAGAGGAGCACTTCAATCTCAATCCCAGTTCAAGGATGCGCAACAGCTTGGCTGAAGATGTGCTAAATAAGAAAATGCTTTATCTGATGGAGGTAGCATTTTATTACATCATTGTACATATGGAATTAATTTCTTATATCTACGTATCACAGCGCTAATTCAGGAAATGTCTTTTACCTTACTCCTTAGGCTTATAGAAATCACTTAGCAAGCACTGGAAAGGACCCGAGCAAACTTGATGAGACAATAAAATTCCTGAAACACACCAGTGCAATGGTCCAACTCTTTTCGGATAAGCACCAGATATACCACGTAAACGATCCGAGACTGAAGGAATTAGAAGGATCACTTCAGTTTTTCTCCGATTGGAAAGATCAGATGACCAAAGGGGCTCATTTCCTATCAGAAAAGTTATGGTTCGATCTCCAGTCAATGGTACATGGTTTCATATCCATTGTTCAAACAAAACTGTCACGTTTTCCTGGGTCCACAATCAAGCCTGCCATAATGAATCAATATATTGTGGAAAATCATTTTTCGCAATTGAGAAGCGCTAATGGGCAAAACGACAACCCGACTTACGCAGCTGTACAAGGTACACAAAATTCCATCATATTCGGCCAAACATCAATCAGCAAGAAGAGCAACACTGGCTGTACGCAAAACAACTCGTTCTCGAATTTGCCCAACCATCGCCCTTTCGCCCTTGGGAATAATAATAAATCACCGATGCAAAAGACATTCAGTTTATTGATATAAGCTGTTTATTTTAATGCAGCAACCTCACATGACGTTATTCATGAACCAACTAGTCAAAAATACTAGTTAACCATTGACTCTATGGAACTGTTAACATTGCAATCGTATAGTTATATTTATAATAATTATTAAGTGCTTTTAAAAATGTTATAGCTAAATACCGTTCACTTTCATCTATAAACGACGTAACCTTAACGGCGGAACACGCATCGTATCGTCTATGACTGAATTTTGATTATGATCAACGACAAACATTGACGTTATTTGGGGGCAAGGCATAATACTATGGCTCTGAATAGCTCGACACAGTTCGTTTGCTA